ATTTAAACACTAGTTTTTGAGTATTTTCGCTTTTTTCTTCCTTCACACGTGTTCAGAATTCATGTCGGGCTGATCCGGAACAATCAAATTTTGCGCACTCCGATTGGTCATTTCCTTTCTAGGGGTTTGTATTACCTAGGAAGGCAATATAATCTATCTCCGCTTTAGACGTTCCTCAAATAAGGAAATTTGAAAATGGGTCGGTAAAATTGGTCTTGGTCAGGATTTTGTGGTAAATCCGTCCACATGCTCAGAAAAATTATACAGTATCTGGTATAAAGTTCGCGTGCGCGTAGTTTTCTCAAAATGTAAAGATGTCTGCACAACTATCATTTGATGGATGGCAAACAGCATTAAATCCCGAAAATTTAACTCTACTGTCCCTCCTAAACTTTCGCCGGACAAAAGATGATTTTACTTACGACAGCTGTAAAGAACATTTTGCAATATCAAAATTTTTGGAAAACCTTAAATCTGAGACTACTGATCAGCGATGGATTACCGCGGCTAAAAATCTTTCAGTAAAGGTAAGTAGAATTTATTACTGTAGCATTAAAAGGAATAGGGAGATTAGAAGTCGGACTACGTGTTGATGCAACCGCCTAAGCAACCTGAGTACGTCTTGGGTTGTTATGGAGTACGATTTCGGCGGGCTTCTTAATCTTCAAGGTGTTATATGAAGTCGGACTACGCGTCGATGCAACCACCTAAGCAACTCGAGTGCGTCTTGGGTTGTTAAGGAGTACGTCTCCGGTGGGCTTTATACTACAACTAAAATATTCCTCTTAACCTTTACCTTCTTTACTTTTTCCAAACAACTTCCATTAAGCAACGAATACGATCAGAAGAAGTTAAAGCATTCTGGCTGGATGTTGATCTGGAAAGGGCCGAGTCAGAACGTAGATTAGCGGAGATTATTCTGGAGCAGAAGGAAATTGAGTTAAAACAAAAAGAAGTGGATATAGAATTATCCAAAGTATATATTTATATATATATTGAATATCGAATTTTGTGGAAGCTTACTAATCTTGTTTTTTTTTTTTGGTTTACAGGCTGAATTCGTAATAAACCATTCTAAGGCAGGGAATCAAGGGCACAGTTTATTGAATGATCAAAAATTACAATATATTGAAAACCTTGGTGAAGAAATAGAATTGGTAGGTTCTTAATGGACTTTCTCATTATGTCATTCACGATACAGAACTTATATTTTTATAGGAAGAAGGACCTTCTTTGAAGAAATCTACAAAGAGGAAATCTAATGACAATTTGACCGAAACCGGGGACAGTGAAGTAAGTAGACGTTATATTATTATTATACGACTATTGTTACTAACCAAATTGCGTCCTTCATAAAAGTACTTTCCTGATGACGATGACGATGACGATGACGATGACGATGATCTTGATTCAGAGTCTTTCAGCTCCACATATTCAGATCGTAATAATAAAAAGGTAAGTACAGTCAGGGGATATACCAAATTAGGAAATCGGGTTCTAGAATAATCGGTGTATCGATGCTCTGATTTGATTGGCC